GCCTTTTAAAAAATAGATTTATAGCATTCCATTGTCTAAATGAACCACATTTTCTGTATCCATTATTTGGATGAGGGACATCTGGGTTGATTCCAGTTTTTGGCTATTATGAATAAAACTGCTATAAACATGTAGTGGGACATGTGTTTATGGCGTATGGTAGAGTATCTTTTGGTTATATGCTCAAGAGTAGTATAGCTGGCTGTTCAGGTAGAAGTATTTTCAATTTTCTGAGAAACTGCCAGATTGATTTCCAGAGAGGTTGTATAAGTTTGCAATTCCACCAGCAATGAAAGAGTGTTCCTTTTCTCCACATCATCACCTGCATGTGCTGTCCCTTGAGATTTTGGTCTTAGCCATTCTAACTGGCGTAAGGTGGACTCTAGTGGTCATTTTGATTTGTATTTCCATGATGACTAAGGATGTTTAGAATTTTTAAAAGTGCTTCTTGGCCATTCAAGATTCTTCTGTTGAGAGTTCTTTGTTTAGTTCTGTACCCCATTTATAAATTGGGTTTGCTGGAGCTTAACTTTGTGAGTTCTTTATATATTTTAAATATTAGCCCTCTGTTGGATATAGGGCTAGTGAAGATCTTTTCCTACTTGTTGGCTGCCAATTTGTCCTATTGACAATATCCTTTGCCTTACAGAAGCTTTTCAGTTTCAAGAGATCACATTTATCAATTCTTGATCTTAAAGTCTGAGCCATTGGTGTTCTGTTCAGGAACACAACCAAGTTTTGGGTCCTTTACCAATGCATTTAAGGCTATTTCCCACTTTCTCTTCTATGAGATTTAGTGTATCTGATTTTATACTGAGATCCTTGATCCACTTGGACTTCAGTTTTGGGCATTGTGATTAATTATTGATCTATTTGCATTCTTTTACATTCAGATATCCAGTTAGCCTAGTACCATTTATTGAAGATGCTCTCCCTTTCACTTTCCCAGAAATGGTTTTCACTTTATTTGTCAAAACTCAAGTATCTATACATTTGTGGGTTTATTTCTGTGTCTTCAATTTGATTCCATTGATCAAGCTGTCTGTTTCTGTACCATCACCATGTAGTTTCTCTCATTGTTGTTCTATAGTACAGCTTGAGGACAGGGATTGTGATTCCTCCAGAGGTTCTTTTATTGTTCAGGATTGTTTTGGTTATACTGTTTTTTTTTTTTTCCATACGAAGTGGAAAATTGCTCGTTCAAGGTCTGTAAAAAAACTGTTGCAGTCTTGATGAGGATTTCAATAAATTTGTAGATTACTTTTGGTAAGATGGCCATTTTCACTAATTAATCCTACTAATCCTTGAGCATGGGAGATCATTCTATCTTCCGAGGTCTTCTTTCATTTCTTCAGGCTCTTGTAGGTCTTGTCCTACAGATCTTTTACTTGCTTGGTTAGAGTTACACTGAGATATTTTATATTGTCTATGGCTATTGTACAGGATATTGTTTTTTTAATTTGTCTGTTTATCATTTATATAAAGAAAGTCTACTGATTTCTTTGAGATAATTTTGTATCCAGACACTTTGCTGAGGTTGTTTATTAGCTGTAGAGTTCTTTGGTTGAATTTTGGGGCTCTCTCATATATACTATCATATTATCTATGAATAGTGATACTTTGCCTTCTTCCTGTACAATTTATATTCCCTTGACTTCCTTTTATTTTCTTATTGTTCTAACTAGCACTATATTGAATAGACAGGGAGAGAGTGGGCAGTTTTATCTTGTCCCTAATTTTAGTGGGACAATTTTATTTTTGGTTCAAGTTTGTCTCCATTTAATTTGATGTTGGTTATTAACTTGCTGTATATTACTTTTATTATGTTTAGCTATGTGCCTTGAATCTCTGATCTTTCCAAGACCACTTCCACGTTTAACATGAAGGGGTGTTGGATTTTGTCAAAGGCTTTTTTCAACACCTAATGACATGGTCATGTTATTTGTTTCAGTTTATTTATTTATATAGTGGATTACATAATGGATTTTCATATTTTGAACAATCTCTGCATCCCCGAGGCCCAGCACTTTGTATGAGTGTGATGGTGCATTCTGGAGAGGCATATCCCCAGAGACTTCATCCCAGGATTGCTTCTTGCTGCTGCTATGCTTTTTCTGACATTATTACATATCCTAATGATTCCTTGGCATCAGCCCATTGGGCAAATTTCCTATAGATCGACAGGAAGATGAACTTTTATGAGTTAATGCTGTTTAGGTGAATTAATGACTTTATAGCATTCCTGATTTGATTCAAATAAATTAGGAAGAATATTTAAGAAGATGGTTTTAGTTGTTTTGCCAGAGAGATATGATAATATTAGAATCAAGAAGAAAATGAGCTCCCTCCTCATAATATAGTAAGTAAAGGCTGCATAATAGGGATGTGAGAAGCTTTTATAATTATGCTAATAAGATATATAGGCTCAGGATGAATTTGTGATCAAGGAAAAAAACATTTTTCTAGATCAGGTCCAAGAATGAAGCCAAAGGTATGTACTATGTTAAAGTAAGGCCATGTGAAACTTAGAACTGAATTCATACAATGTAACATTGCTTTGAATTTACTATCAACATCTTTCTGTAAATCCTTTGTGTAACATTTGATCTATGAGGCAATTTTGTAACAAACTTTTGTCTCAGAAAGTATAAAACAACCTGAATGATGGAATAAAATGTGGCTTGTGGCTTAGCCTGATTTTTCAAATGTACATATTTATATGTTTCTCCCTATGTATGTACATACATATGTACATACATATGTAGGTATATGTGTATGTATATAAATATGCATGAATACTTGTGCAGAGTTGTTGAGTCAGGTTGTTGTGCCTGTGTGTGAGTGTATGTGTTTATGCATGGGTGTGTCTGTGTATATCTATGTGTGTGCTTGAGTTCTCCCTTTCTTCTTTTTCTTATCTCTTTGTCTCATTAAGAGTTTACGAACTCCAAGCCTCTAGCCTAGACAGTAAGAGTTCCTGGAACAGAGAGAAACTAAGCCTTTTTTATTAGTCTTTTTAACGCCTCATTGCTACTGTAACACCTGGATGACTATCTCCTTCTTAGACCTGCCCAACACAGAAGTAATGTGTGAGCATTAGTGTCCGGCAGCCACAGGTTCAAGTCCTGACATGAATGTTAACTAACAGGAAGCATTCTTTATCCTCATTAAAATGTATCTTCATTTTTCTTCACACAAATAGTGCCTGTCTTGTACAATTTAGAAGAATGAATTGGAACACCACTCAGAAACCTCTTTGCATTATATTTGGCATTCTGAAAATGCTTAATAAATGTTTGTCATTATATTCACCAAATTTAAGGTCCTGCAAATTCTTGCTAGAGAAGATCTCCCTTTCTTATTCATTCCTGCAACGAATTCAACTTACACATCTAACAACTTTTATCATTTGGTTCCCAAGAAGACTAATTGTATACTGTAGTTTCACCAACTGGAATACTATAATTCATTGTTCCCTCTAGTACATTTACTTCGAAAATATAGAGAGATTAGTGAATATTCTATATATATTTCCAACACATTTCCTTTAGAAGAAAACTCTTTAGGGTAAGCCATAGAAGTGGTGTGTTATGCTTCTGAAATAGGCACAGTGCTGTGATGTGTAAGTATTCTGAAAATAAAGGTTATCTTTTTTTATCAGAATTTTTTTCTTCTTTATTGCATATTTTATTTGCATTTCAGATGTTATCCTCTTTTCCGATTGACCCCCACCCAGAAACCCCCTATCCCATCCCCCCTCCTCCTGCTTCTATGAGGATGTGCTCCTACCACCCCCCACACTCTTACTTCCCTACCCTCGAATTCCCCTACACTGGGACATCCAGCCTTCACAGGACCAAGGACTTCCTCTCCCACATATTCCCTACAAGGCCATCCTCCCCTAAATATACAGCTGGAGCCATGAGTCCTGCTATGTGCTCCCAGTCTGGTGGTTTAGACCCTGGATCATGAGCTGTGTGCATCCGCCTCTGTATATATCAGGCTCTGGCCGATAGGCTATCTTTTTTAAAGCCGAAATATGGTGACACTTTAAGTAGCCAAACATGTACTGTGAAAATCATAATAAAAAACAAAAAAGGGAAAATTGCTTCAGGTACTACTTTATTACTAGAGACTCAGACCACGAGAGAGAGAGAGAGAGAGAGAGAGAGAGAGAGAGAGAGAGAGAGAGAACATTATGTAGTTCTTCATCATAATGATCATAGCACTGGCTATCCACACCACACTAATATCACCTAATATTTCTATGAATTGTAGACTAGCACACCTGAGTTACCTGAATTCCAATTTGGCAATGATTTCCAATCATGCTTACTTTTGATCCATTTATTTATGCTTGAATTCAAATTCCAGAAATGTATAAGTCACTTAACCTCTTTGGACCCTGATCCTACACACATAAAGGGAAAACAACCATAGTATCTCCTTCCTATATTGTGAAGATTAACTGGGTCAGTGTGTGCAATGTATATAGTAGCACAGTGGCTGGTACAGCGGTACTCTATTTCAGTTTGGTTTTTTTGACAATTGTTACAATAGAGTTATTATTCTGAAGTGTTGGGACAAGCAAAGGAGTAACATACACTGAGTTTCATCATCTTGAAATCAGAAAATGGAATATTTTCAATGAATTTCATCATATGTAGAGTCAATACTTCCAGCAAGGTCCATAAGAAAGGAAAAAGCCAAATTAAAACAAAATAGCTTATTAACCTCAAATTTATTTTCAAAAACTCAGAAGCATTAGGAATGCATTTTCATAATAAAATAAATAAGTTTTCTAACTTCTGATCACTTATAGATAGCTATCTTGGAAAATTCTATACTACTGAGATGCTAAGTCATTACTTGTGGAACCCAGAGGTGTTTCTGTGTAAGCTCAAGCTGTCTATTTACATTTCAGATACTTTGGCTTCATGTGATTTTCCTTTTCTAAAAACTAAGGATGCTTCTCATCTTTAGATTTTTGCTCAAATTACCTGAGTTCATTGTTATGAATTTCCATGATTTTTCTTTCCAACTTCTGTGACTGCTTGGGAAAAATCTCAAACTCATTGATATAATTCTCAGGATGCTCATCAGGATAGTAATCACCAAACTCAGCTGTAATCATCAAAAATTGGAGAAAAAGAGAGAAATTTAAAGCAATACAACCAGAGCACATATACATTGTCTTCTACCATTCAAATTAAGATAATAGACTGAACTTACATAATATGAGTCATTTGTACTTATGGGGAAATGACCAGCCTCGTTTTTCAGAAACATATTCATGTTCACATCTCACTATGTGAGTGTGGGTGCTGGTTAATCCTTTTTGTGCCTCATTTTCTGTGTCATAAAAAAATTTAAATCATTGCTTTTCAGTAGGGCACTATTGGCAGTTAGGATGCCGAATAATTTTATTCTTTCAGATTTCCTAAGATTTACAGAACTTTTTAGCCA